CTTGGGATATGTCTGTACACTGCCCATTAATTCGCCTGAGAGAGTCCCTCCACAACCCTCCCCTGGACCACCATCGATGCTCAACTGCTGCTCGTGTGTCCGGAGTTAAGTCTCACCCCCTCCACTCACTCACAGAGTTTTCATTCTGGCATTTGGATGAGCACTGGCCAGCTGCTAGCCTGTCTCAGAGATCCCTCCCTGTCTCAAGTGTTGTGGTCCCACGCACAACCCCAGGAGGCAGGCACCATCCCCATTCTATTGCACCTCAGAGGGACCTGAGACCACAGAGCTGACGTGGCGCGCTGAGACCCAGCACTGGTGAGTGGGGCTTGGGATGTCACCCAGCTCAGGAGCGCCCGCTGCCAGCCAGGCACCTAGAATGGTCACGGATTTTTCTAAAAGGGAGATTTAATTAGTGCCGTAACTGAAGGTTCCTTGCCCTCGACCCTGGCTCATACCCAGGGTTTTGTGTCCTTGTTCAGTTCTGTGTCATCACTGCAAGAGCACCTGCCAGGGTGGCTCTAGTCCCACCATGCTGCACAGGCTCTCTAGTCTCACAGCCCTCTGCTCTTACCAGTTTTCTTTGCTCTCCCTGGAATACATGTCCCATTGTTGACTATTCCCATTGTCTGACTCTAAGCACCATTTTCTCTGTAAAGCCATTTTTGGGACCATTCCACCTTCCTTCACAGCCCACACTTTAGAATGGACTCTGCTCTTTTGGGCTGGACACGAAACCAAGTGAGGCACTCACACTTGGCATTACCTGTGTGTTTCTCTCTGCCGTGCTCTCCAGGGTAGAACCATGGCCTTTAGTTGTGTATTTCCAGCTGGATACCTTGTAGACACTCAGTAGGTGATTGCTGGGGGAATGAGTGAATTCACCCACCAGAGTTGCTCAGAGACCGTTGAGGATGCTACTGCTCAGATATAAGAAAAATGGAAGAAAATCTGAATCCTGCTTTATTACAGGCTTTGCAAATGTTTAGTCTGTTAGCATGATAGTTTACAACGAACAGACTAAATTATAATTGTAATGTTACCAGAGGAGGTATCGACTTCAGCAGTTATTCTTACTTACCTCTGTTATATGCAACTAGGAAGATATAGTCTCTGCTCTCCTCTGACCCAAGTGTTGTGAGCTGCTTTGAGACTTCATGTTTAAAAGACAGAGTTTAAGCTGAGCAAAATTAAGGAAAGTAAGTGTAATACTAGGATTGTGTGTGATTCAGTTTGTAAGGTCCCCATGTAGTGTTTGGGGGTTAGATAATATTTTCCCTTTTCCATGGAATTAAAATTTTGTTACTTTTAGTGAGTTTTCCAAGTTATATTGTAATTTGGGCTGTTTAAGAAGTCAAGATCTTCCACTTAAGTGAGATTCATCGACAAGCTTTATATTCTGAAGGTTGACTAGGACAGACTCAGGCTTGGGCCAAAGTTTAGGGCAGGGAAGTTTGGGAGGGAAGGGCGTATTTGCATGTCCTACTGATGGCATTAGCTAGAAAGGACAGTGGTATTGCTTTGTGCTCTGAATGCATGGTCCACGTCACCAGTGAAGGGCAGACAGACATCCTGAGTCCAAGACACCTGAGAGAGCCTCCAGTGAGGGATTCGTCACTGTCATCTAATCATGCAGAAACAGCAGACATAGCCCAATATGGTTTGGCTGTGTCCCCACCCAAATCTCATCTTGAATTTAACTTCCATAATCCCCACATGTCTTGGGAGGGACCTGGTGGGAGGTAAGTGAATCATGGGAATGGGTTTTTCCCATGCTGTGCTTGTGTTAGTGAGTAGGTCTCATGAGATCTGATGGTTGCATAAAGGACAGTTCTCTTGCACACACCCTCTTGCCTGCCACCATGTAAGATGCCTTTGCTCCGCCTTTACCTTCCACCATGATTGTGAGGCCTCCCCAGACATGTGGAAATGTGAGTTCATGAGACCTCTTTTTCTTCATAAAGTACCCAGTGTCTGGTGTTTCTCCATAGCCGTATGAAAATGGACTAACACATAGCCAACTCTAGATCTTTCTATAAAACAATGCAAGACAGGCCTATATTCTTCAAAGATGCCAAGATCATAAGAGACAAAGTCTGGGGAGCTGTTCTAGGTGAAAGGAGACTTAGGAGGCCTGGCATCTAAATGTGATTTGAATCCTGAACAGATCTTTTCTTCAGTGAAAAATGCTATAAAGCACATTTTTGGGGCAATTACAAAATTGAAATGTGGATGGTAGGATAGATGAAAACACTACATCAGGTGAATGTCCTGAATTTGGTAATTGTCTATGATCATGTAAGGGATGATGTTTCTGTTGCCAGGAAACACTTCCTGAAGTATTAAATAGATCACTTGTCTTCAGTATTAAGTACTAAAGTACTAAGAGGCAAAGGTGCGTGATGTAAGACACCTTCTCCCAAATAGTTCAGAAAAAATATGTATTTAATATAGATACTGGCCTGTAGAATCTGTATCTATCAATGCCTTGCCATTTCTTGTCTGAAGAATGTCATATTTTCAACTCTTCTTTCCCTACTTTCTTTCCATCTTCCTGCTCAATTCGCCAGAGATTTATTGAGCAACTATTATGCTTGCTTAATTGAACACACACACATACTGAGAGCTGACTCTGTTTAGCACTGTGGTTAGGTATGTCCAGGTGTCATAGGAACACTCCAAGGAGACCTGGGCTTGAGCTGGGCTTTGGAGCATGAGCCGTCATAAGAAGGTGAGGAAGGGGATTCCAGGTGGAAGGGAGCTGTGGGGGCACAGGCATGGTGCAGGGAAGGATGCTTGAACTAGGAAGGCAGGTGGGTCTTGGAGCACGAAAGCCACTCCCAAGGCTGTGGCTACCTCCTTCGGGGTTTGAACGGTGGGATGTCATCAGGTGTGCTGGCATTATTCACCTGTTCAGTTAACAAATATTTACTGGGCATCCGCAATATGCCAGGCATGGTTCCAGGCTCTGGGAATTCATTAATGGAGAAAAAACCCAACATCCTTGCCCTTGGGTGGCTTCTAACCTTCTGCTGGTGAAAGAAAAACACAACAAACATCATCAATCAGTTGTGTATGGATTACATATGCTGCTGTGGGTAAAGTGTGGAGGGCAAGGGAAGTGACCGGGCACCCCTCTTGGGAGTGACAGGGCAGAGGGACTGTTGAGCCAAGACTTCACAGGAGGCTGCCCTGTGCTGCCCCTGATTTCACGGAAATAAGGTATTTGCAAAAACTCACGTTTCCTGCATGTGCTTGGATAGGTATGAGGTGAGAAATAAATAGGTGTAATGACAAGGCGCCTCTGTTCACTGAGTCATCCTGCAGCATCCAGAGTTGCTTTTGTTCCAGGTGACTTTCCAGGTCAGGGTGGGGGCCCCGCATTTGTGTCTCATTGCAGTGCCCAGGGTGGTGGGAGTGGGTCACACCCACAAGTGGGCGGTTCTTGTTTGTGGTGTGTTCTGTGTCACAACTGCTTCTGTGCCCTCGTTACCAGGATGGGTCATGTATGCTTGTCATTGTCCTTTGAGTACTATTCCAGAGATAATAGGATGCACGCACACACACACACACACACACACACACACACACGCACACGATATCTATCTTAGAGGCCAAAGATATGGAAATGTGTCTCAACAACCAGAGTTCAGGGAACCTAAAAAAGATCAACTAGACTTTCAGAATCCCAATCCCCAGCCGAAATACAAGCACCATATACCATTTTCTGTTTCCATGGCCTGCTAAGGTCTCATTTCTTCTGCCTAAGAACTTAATTTCAACTCATAGGAAAACTGCTTAAAATAGGTAGAAACATTTTGTGTGGTCGCATGTACAAAGTTGGAGGGCTATTTTCGTATTTTAATTTCCACAAAGACAAAAAACCTGGTAGTTTGCATCATACGCAATGTATTAATGGTATGAAGCAGGTGTTTTTAGTTTGACATTTCTTAAGTGACATAGAGAGCTCAGGAGAAATACCTATTTATATACTTCAGCCTCCATTCACTTCCAAATACTTGAGAAAAGATAAAAAAAAAAAAGAAAACCTAAAAAAGACAGTATTATAAAGATAGTTCATGGGATAGAATTGGAATGGTGCTAAGGGAATCGCAGGCAGTCCTGACTTAGTTCGACTTAGGATTTTTGACTGTGTGATGGTGCGAAAGCCTCACGCATTCAGTAGAAAGCCGTAGGCTACTCTCTTGGAACACCGGGCAATGATGGCCACAGCTCCCTGTCAGCCCCGTGCCCCCTGCAGTGGACGGCGATGCCAGATGAGGTTTGCCGCCTCCAGGCCAATGGAAATGTTCCGAGTAGGTTTAAGGTAGGGCTGCACCATGGGGTGCAGTTGGCTATGTGTATTAAATGCATTTTCCACGGAAGATACTTTCACCTTGGACGCGTTCATCAAGATGTGACCACATCCTCATCTGAGGAGCAGGTATCTGCATATCATCTCACTTTGTGTTCTAGTTGTGCTTTGTTGTTACTGTCTGCAGATTAAAAAACGTGAGTTCTCCTTTATTGCAACCCCAAAGGAAACCACCACATGGCTAATTTTCATCACAGATCCTGTCATCCTGCTCAGAGGCTCCAGCAGGAACAGCTTTGTGATGCTCGTTGAACAGCAGTTTCCATTCGGCTTTAAAGAGTGTCTCCAAAAAACCAGAGGCGCCTCTTCGGAGTGCCTGTTCCCTAAGGCAAGCCCTTCTTTGGTCAGGTTTTAGGAAGGCCACCTGCAGTTAGAAAGTGGATTAATCTCTGCCTTGCCAAGGTCCTGGGAGGGAGAGAGAGAGTCATGTTTGCTGCTTTTCAGCGGGGAATGCAAGTGACAGAGTAGAGGAGGCTGTGTTTGAAGTGAGGCTTCTTGGCAGTGCCTGTGCTTCCTCTTGCGCTTTCTCCGAAGAGCCCGTCTTCCCGACCACAGAGAGAGCCTGGTTGGGCTCCTTGTATCCCGCTCTTCCTAATGGACTTTCTCTTCTTCATTTGTCCTGTAGGTGGATTCCAAAGGCCAAGAACCTCGTGAATATGATGGCATACCCCCTAAAACCCAGGATTCTGTTTATCATGCCAAGGAAGAAAAGAAGAAAACATTGGTAGAACCTTTAGTCGAAAGGGGCGCAGGTGACTTGCAATTTCTTCTACTGTAGGCAGTTCGAAATGTTACCAGCCTAAGAATGTGGGATTTTTTTTTTTTTTCAGAAAAAATTTTATACTCCAGAAATATTGTTTGACTTGTAACTATCTGCTTTATTAATAAAATGTTCAGCTTGTAGGTAGGTCAGTTGTGGGCAGAGCAGAAAAACAAAATTTCACTGCCGAAGGCGATGGGATTCCCTAAGTAGGGGCCTCCAAGATAAATACAGTGTTTCAAATCAGTTTCCATCAGGACTGCGGATCTTCCCCCTGAGGACTGATGACATAGACAGCCACACACAAATCTATCTTTTGGGAGAAATACGAAGATAGAAACCACCTAGATTGTTTAGCTGTACTTCTTGAGTTTAGGAGATATTTAAAAGATGGATCTTCAGAGCTGGTTTTCCAATGAGGTAATTTAGAAAGTGCTCTTACATCTATTTGCTACCACTCTGCTACCATTACTAACTCTTACTGAGCTCCTACTGGGTGCCCAGCTCTGAGTAGGCACTTTCAGGTCCTGTCTCATTTATGTGTATGTAGGATTCTTAGTAGGAGACTGTGAGTCATGTGGCTGGTTATGGAGGAGGAAGCAAGGTGGTTGGAGAGGCTTTCCTGCGTGTCTCTGCAGCGGCTGAACGTTTTTGGAAGTAGTTTTTCCTAAACACCCTTCCTCCCATCTTGGCTTCTTCTTTTCGTTTATTTTGAGAGGGTATCTTGTTCTGTTGCCCAGACTGGAGTGCAGTGGCATGATCTCAGCTCACTGTGACCTCCAGCTCCCGCGTTCAAGTGATTTTTGTGCCTTAGCCTCCCAAGTAGCTGGGACTACAGGCACCTGCCACCACACCCAACTATTTTTTATATTTTTAGTAGAGACAGGGTTTTGCCATGTTGCCCAGGCTGGTCTTGAACTCCTGATCTCAAGTGATCTGCCTGCCTCAGCCTCCCAAACTGCTGGGATGACAGGAGTGAGCCACCACACTCAACCCGCTTTGGCTTCTGTTACCTTCTGACACCTCTCAGGTTTTCTCCGCTTTGCACGCTGATGACCTCTTAGCTCATTCCCTTGCTCCTCTCTCTACTTCTCAGCTGTAAATCTGGATATCCCCTAAAGCTTCCCCCGGCTCATTTCCCCTCCTGGCCCTTCCCACTTCACAACGAATGCCCAGGCCATGGGGAGGCGAGGCAGGTGCATGAGTACATAGGTTGGAGAGTGGCCTATGTGCTCATACATGTAGGGTTAGGGTTACGGTTAGGGTTATGGGGTTATGAGGCAATGAAGCAGGTGTGTGAGCATGTAGGAGGCAGATTGGACAGGCGGCTCTTAGATCAAAGCCTGCTGAACCCACTCCACTTGACATATTACTATATATCAAGAGTAATAGAAAATTTGATTACTGCATATAATATTTCTTCCTTGGCAATGTACATCCTACCCAAGCAGCGGGGGCTGCCCAGCACCCAGGCCTTCCATCTGGGAGGCAGCCTGGTGCTAGGATGTGGTTGTAGATCCCACCTGTGGCCCTCGCAGAGCATGTAATTGTGGCCCAATTCCTTATTGACTGTAGGCATAATAAGTTTGTTTGGGGATCGCCATGAGCTTTAAATATCGAGTGCCTGGGACACAGTGGGTTCCCAATGAATGTCACTTCCCCGCCTCCCTCTCACCTTCCAATCTGTCACCCATAAGAGTAGGGGCTCCTCTGGCTCAATTCAGGACTCTAGGGTCAGTTCTCCTGGGGCTGAGGGCTGGGAAGGGGGAGAAGGGTGAGAATGGACCAGGTGAGGGTGAGGCAGGCCCAGGACACATGGCTGAGAAATGAATGGGTCTACATCAGAGTTTCTGGTTTTGGATGATCGTGCTTGCCAGTGGCCACAGTACTATCTTTTCGGACGTTGAAGGAACTGGCTGGCTGATTTCTTTTTCTTCTGCTCTCACCTAGTGCTTCTATCAGGGTGAGAATCACCTTTTCAAGAATCTTGGAATTTTATAAGCATTTAATGCATCTAATTGTGATGCGATTAAAATGATTTCTAGCAATCCATTAAGTTAGCTGCCTCATAGTGCACAACTTTAGCACCTGGTTGTTTGAACCCTGCTGTAAAGTAAGAAGCAACAAAGCTGTACTCTTCCCCTCCTTCTCCTCCTCCTACTCCTCCTCCCACTCCTCCTCCTCCTCCTCCTCCTCCTCCCACTCCTCCTCCTCCTCCTCCTCCTCTTCCTCTTCCCCTCCTTTCCACCCGCTCTCTCTCTCTCTCTCTCTCTCTCTCTCTTTCTTGCCTTCAGACAGAGTTTCGCTCTTATCCCCCAGGCTGCAGTACAATGGTGCGATCTTGGCTCATTGCAACCTCCACCTCCCGGTTTCAAGCAGTTCTCCTGCCTCAGCCTCCCGAGTAGCTTGGATTACAGGCTCCTGCCACCATGTCTGGCTAGTTTCTGTATTTTTAATAGAGATGGGGTTTCACCATGTTGACCAGGCTGGTCTTGAACTCCTGACCTCAGGTGATCCACCCACCTCCACCTCCAAAAGTGTTGGGATTACAGGCGTGAGCCACTGCACCCATCCAAAGCTGCAGTTTCTTAAAATTTATCCTATTACTTTGCTGTCCAGTGGGGTTACTTTGCATGTATTTATTTCTAACTGAATTAACTGGCCACAGGCTTGTTGGACAGAGGTCTTCCCTGTATTTCATCTCGTGGACTGACTACGGTGGCAGGTGGCCACAGCAATCCCATGACCTTCAGGGTCCAGGGCCTTCATGGAGACAGAGACAAAAGCAGATGGGGCTAAAACTGAGACCACCATGCCGAGTACCTCGGCAGATGCCAACAGGAAGGGCGAGAGGGAAACGGGGTGAGGCGGACAGCGTCTGGGACCCCTGGCCAGGTGGCCTGCCTGACAATGCAGGAAGCTCCAGGATGCCCAGCTTTGTAACTTGGGTTTGGGTCAGAAAATACGCAGTGGATTCCAGTTTCTCCATGGGTTTGGAATGTTTGTGTGATTTTTCCCCAGAAGGTGACGTGTATAAAGCACCAACTCCTAGCAAGGAAACGCAGGGAGCGCTAGAGGTCAAAGAGGACGGCCACGTGCAGCTGGAGGTGCCTGTGGACCAGGTGGGTGTCGGGGGCTGAGGTCCTTGGGCTCTTCACTCCCTTCCGTCAGCTCCTGCCTGCCTCAGCGTCATCCTTAACCCCCTCCCTGCAAATTCTCTTTGGACTCGAGAATGTTCTTCACCCCTCCTACTTAGAGACTGCTCATCTCAGATCCTGTGTCAAGCATTCTCCTGTGTGCCCACCTCCCCAGCAGGTTCTGCTGGAGCGACCCCTTTTAACACTTCACTGTGTGTGACCGCAAATTTGGCTTCATCATTATTTGATGCTTGTGTCTGTCCCTCGCTAAGCTCCTAGCTCTGTAAGGAAAGGGGCTGGCTGCCTCGCTCACCACTGGGTCCTGTACTTTGCAGAGTTCCTCGCAGGAGGGAGGCCTTAGTAGTTTTTGTGGAGTGACGACTGAATAATGGAAGAAACAGTGTGATCCGATGGCATGGGTGTGGAGCCTCGAGCCTGTTTCCTTATCCACAGATGGGGGTGCTGTCTCTGTGCAGGCCCGTGTGTGGCCTGCGTGTGCGGCCAGTGCTGGTGCGTGGTGGACGCTGGGGCACCGTTCCCTCCTCCTGGCCGCAGGGAGGAGCGGGGAGCAGGGTTCTGAGAAGGGGTGCAGTCAGGCCGGGGTTCCAGCCCAGTTGTGCACCTGGGTGAGTCTCCAGGACTTGGGCAGACGGCAGATTGTGCTCGATGATCTCCCAAGATGCACGGCTTTGTCTCCACCACCCACCTGAAGGCAAAACAAGCACATTTCCAATTCTTAGTTTTTGAGCGAAGAATGTGTATTCTCTGAAAGGTCAATACTAGCATTAGAGTTTCATTTTTATGGAACTCTGAAATCGATGGGGCTCCACCCCTGCATGAAGCAGCGACTCCCGCTACACAGGGGACCTCCCCACTCCTCTGTCCGGGTGGATCCTCTTACGTTTGGCAATTTGTTTTTTAACTTCTGCTGTATTTCTTATTTTCAGGGACACATTTGAAAAATGTTACGGACCTCATCTCAGTATTCTAGCTTTTCACTTCAGCTCTGGCATTTTGAATACCTTTCCTGTGAGTCCTGTCGTATCTGCTAAATTCCTAGTAATATTATTTTCTCTTTTCCTCGACATGACAAAAGTGACTAAAATATTTGATTTTCCTTGAAAACACGAACTAACAGTTAAAATATTTTGTATTGCCCACGTAAGAGTTTTCTAGTGATGAGGAAAGTGGGGCGTTTTACGCTGCTGTATGCCACGTGTACCCTTGTCACTAGAACATTGCTGTGGCTCTCTGGCTTGCAGACTGAGTGTGTCCAACACAAGTTTTCAGCGCAGGTGGGATCCTAGGACGGCAGGAACTGCTGTCATAGCTGCTCGCGTGTAAGAAACATGTTCATAAGTTCTGGTTGCTGGCGATTTTGATTTCCTTGTATTTGAGGTGTAGTGACTTCAGTTAGCCCACACTCATGTGACATGAGAGGACGGAAGAGGGCCGGCAGGTCCCTGGGACACTCCACCCACCAGCCAGGAGAAGGAGGGGCTTCCAGAAAGAGTTTTCTGTGTAGCAATTCTCCATACCAGGTAGGGCAAAGTCTCAGTGAATGGAATTTTCTTGCTGTCAAGTTCTGTGGCTTTGAGCGACACAGAAACAGACTTTCAGTCATGATGGTGTCTGTGGACATGAAGACCTCCTGAGAGTGAGCTGGGTCCTCCCTCTGCATCCTCCGTGCGTGGCGTGGCGTGTGTCAGAACGGGAGCAGAAAGAGCTGCTGTCAGCTGGGATGCTGGGGTTAGCTGAGTGCAGGGAGGACCTTTCCTGCACAGCACACCTTGGCAGGGTGGGAGGGGGACGATGACTCAGCTTATCTCCCACTCAAGTCCTGACATGCAGCAGATGTTCCAAAAAGGTTTATGAAATCTGACAGAAATTGATAGGAGAAAATCCCATGCACTTGACCAGCAGAGGCACAGCATGAGGCTCAGGCTGTGTAGACAGAGCGGTGTTGCCCAAACTGCGTTCTGCATCATCGAAGGAGGTCCCTGCGGAAAGCGCACATGGGAAGCGCCCCTGTCATCTCTCTCCTTGGGGGAATCATGGTGCACATTAGTGTAGTAATTGTTTCCGAGACATCCTAGAGTCAAAAATTGTATATGAGCTTTTGGTGAATCCTAATTATTTCCCCACGAACCTTTTCTTGCTGGGACTCTCATGACACACAGTTTAGGCCCCGTCTGTGTGCTGTTGTCTGAGGACCTCCTTCCTTCCTGTGGAGCAGGAACATGGGATGTGGTTCCTGCAAACCCTCTATTCCTGGGGCGGTCATGGCCTGGGTGTGTGGCCGCATCCGAGCCGTCCCCGCCTGGACAACTGTGCACGAGGGTGGCTGCCTGGCTGCCTGGCCCCACTCTGGCCTGTGCTGCACGCTGGGCAGGCTCTTGGCTCTGAGTCAGGGGGTCTGGCATCCCCATGGACACAGGGAAGGTGCATATATCCATGCCGTCAGAACTTTCCAGGCCATTAATAAAGACAGTTTGGCCCCGATAGTATGCCTTGATGGTGCTGACTTCTTAGTAACCTGGAATACTGTCTCTTGTTTTTGACTAATTGGTTTTAACTTTGTGGGTTAGCCTGAGCGCCTCACACGCTGTGTGTCCTGTGTCTGCAGTATTATGCTTTCTCCAGTGTAGTGGTGCTGTAAAGATAAAATATTACCAAATGTAGCATCCCAACTAGTACATGTATGAATTTGGAGTCAAGCCTTCTAGACTGAAGAAGGGAACCTCGAGAATGCAGAGTCCTCGAAATTCCAGGCCGTAGCTTCGAGGTCAGTGATGCTAACTGCACAGCATCCGAGCATCCCTGGAGAGAGCATCGATGTGGGAGGATGCTTCGGTTTTCCTGTGGCAACTTCGGTATCTGTCACTAAAGTCTCATTGTCAGGTTTGGATACATGAAGGATGCGGCCCGTTCTTGGCCCCTGCAGAGGGAGGGGCCTCATATTATGTTTATGATTTGTGATGATAAGTAAGACTTTGACTCCGCAGCCCCCTTTCCTGTCACCTGTCCTTTATTCCAGTGTCTAGGAACTTCTCTCAGTACTTGTAAGTAATTTCTGGAACATCTCATAGCTGTGCAGGCAGGACAGAGTGGAGCCTGGCGTCACTGAGTATGGGCAGGGAGGGTCGGAGGCTCAGCTGGGAAGCCAGGTCGCTGGGGGTACTGGGTGTTGGTCTTCCTGACAGTGCAAGATGACTGTTCATTGTGCATTTTGACCTGTACTTGGATTTCTAGAATGTTCTCATTTTTCTTGTCTGGTCTTCAATTTTTTTTTATTTATTTACTCCCAGAACAACACATACTTTTAATCATACCAGTCACTTTTCTGTCCTCCAGCTTCGGTTACTCGAGTCTCTATGAACTGAGACCCAAGGGATTTCTGCAGAGCCCGTGGCTTACCTGCAGGCATTGGGAGGTTCACACTGGCGTCCCAGGGCTCCTGGCTGTCTGGAAAGCTCATCTGTAGCACAGACTTGACACGGAGACCCTCACAGAATTCTGTGAATGCCCATCTGTGGCTCATGAGAGAATCAAGACTGGGGTTCTGCATTAGGGAAGAGGTACCTTGAGTCAATCCAGTGAGCTCAGTTACCTGGGTCATAAAAGCGGGGAAGCTTCAGAGTCACGGAAACTCATTTGTCCTGAACCAAGTGGTTGTGAAGAGAACGGAACACTTAGCTTGTGGGAACTGGAATGGGAGGGAGCAGGAGGGAGAGGGTGGCGGCGTGGGAGCTCCGGGGCATGGCCGGCTGTCAGAGAGAGGGCAACTCACTGCTGGTGTGGCTTGGATAATCGCCAATCTTTAACGACACTTTTTTCCCCCCTCCTAGGATGCATTCCCTCCTTTCTTGAGTTTTTATTTTTAAGAAATTATAATTTATTTTCAGACTTTTGTTTCCCTTTGGTTATACAGCAGGTAGTGTATCCCCTTGGCATCTACCCCTCCCCCACCATTTCCGTCAGCAGAGGAGTTTGGAGATGGGCAGAGGTGCCTGCCCTGTGTGCCTGCTGCCTCATAAGTTTTCATTCTCAGAGCGCGGTGACGTTTTACACTAATGTCTCAAGTCATGTTACCCCAGTGTTAAGGAACACATTTTTTGCAGTTATAATCCATGCAAAAAATGGCACCCAGGTGTTAAAACGTGAATGTTGAAATTCTGATTTAAGTACTACATTTTAACAAAAGCAATGTCTTCTGACAGTGATAAGATTATATTTATTTTTGTAACTACTTTACGAAGGTGGGGAAATGTGTATAATCAGAAGCCCTGCCGAGCCCAGGACACTCACCTGCGATTCCTTTCTTGGGGAAATCATCTAGAATTTACTCTGAACATGGCCAATTCTGTGTTAGCAGAGCAGTCTTCATCATTCCCCAGGTGGCAAGTAGGCTGTGTGAACCCCAGGTCTCCAGCTGAGGCAGGAGAAGCAGGGTTTGACTGAAATCACAAAAGATTGAGTCCATTTCTACTCTTCTAAAATGTGGTTATTTTTAGAGAGTCTCAAAGAGTCAGTGCAAAAGGGGAGTATCTTTCCTTGATCCTCAAATAGCAACTAGGGCAGTGCCCCCTGCACCGTGCCTCCCGGGGGTGGATGCATTTCCCTCCGGAGAAAGAGATGAGAATAAGTCACCCACCAAAGTGAAACCAAAATAATTGGGACTAATTAGGAGAAGGTCAGTCTAAACTTGGGTAATCTGTGAATTGTTTAATTAGAAAAAACCTAGTGAAGCTTTAAGGCTTTGGCACTTTTCAGTGTGTAGAGTACCTCAGATGGAGGCCACCTGGGTCCTTGGGGTATGGCTTTAATGAATAAATTAAAAGTATAATTAGCTACTATATCTGTACAGATGTTTTGGCTATGAAGAATGGGAAACTTGAAAAGAAGTGGCTTAATAATCAGGAACATTTATCAGACCACGGAACAGAAGGACTCAAGCCTTCTGTGTGGGAGAGGCTCTGGGGTTGGTCCCCCTGAGCCTCGGAGAGTAGCTGGACACCCTGTTCTTCCACTGCCTCCCTCTGTGCCTTCACCTTTGGCCTTGGGGTTGTCTCCTCGTGATCTCGAGGTGGCAGTCTCTGCTGGCACACTGAGACATGTGAAATCTGGGGAGAGTAGAGAGACTGTGCCATTTAAACAGGGAGGAAAGGTTTTCCCAGGGACTCCTCTGAAAGTTACTGCGTGTCTATGCCTATCTTGTCCCTAGCCAGGGAGAGGCGATTGACCTCTGGTGGTTTACAGGAATCAACCTTTACCTCTCGTGTCTGGAAAGGAGACCAGCCACTCCTGGATTTTTTTTTTTTTTTTTTGAGATGGAGTTTTGCTCTTGTTGCCCAGACTGGAGTACAGTGGTGCGATCTCAGCTCACTGCAACATCTGCCTCCTGGGTTCAAGCGATTCTCCTGTCTCAGCTTCCCAAGTAGCTGGGATTGTAGGCATGTGTCATTATGGCCAGCTAATTTTTTGTAATTGGTAGAGATGGGGTTTACCAGGTTAGTCAGGCTGGTCTTGAACTCCTGACCTCAGGTGATCCACCTGCCGCTGCCTCCCAAAGTGCTGGGATTACAGGCTTAAGCCACTGTGCCTGGCCGATTTTTTTTTTTAAGTGAGGAACAAGGTGAGGGTGGCTGTGAGCCAGGCAGCTGTTAGTGTCTGCACAGGATGTTTAATCTGTGCCATCTGCCCCTTCTTCATCATAGAAGGAGAGGTCTATCCTTTCCTACCCATATCTCCCCTCCTCCCAGACGCTGGACCCTGTCCCACTCAGAGCCTCTCAGGAACTGCGTGTCATCAGCAGCTTAATATTTCTCTTTCTCTTCTTGGTATCTGCAGCTTCTCCCATGCCCAAGTCCTTCTGGCTGGCATGTGAGCACGCTGAAAGCACTCTTGTTATGAATAAAAACGCCTTTCCCTTGGTCTCAGTCCTCTCGGAGCGCGTCTCTCTCCCCTCCTGCATGGAGCCGATCTGCGGGGAGTGGCGTCTCCTCACCTTCTCCATTTTCTCCCCTCTTCTTCTGCCTCTAGTGGCACAAAACAGCTTTTCTGCTCCATGCCACCAAACCCAACACATTCCTCAGTTCTTGTCGTACAGGACCTCCTCCACCCATTGGCACTCCTGGCCGCTCTTTCAGTGTTCTCTTCCTTTGGCAAGAGCATCTTCTCAAAGAAGACTCCTGACTTCCTTCTCTCCGGCCACTTCTTGTCCTTCTCTTAGGCTTCTGATCATCTCGCTGGCCGTCAGATGCCGGTGGTCAGCAAGGATGAGGGCTGGGGCGCCTTTCCCTCTCACTCTGGACATCCTCTCTATGATACAGAATTCTATATCGCCGTGGCGTCAGCGTCTGCGACCTCCAGGAACATATGCACCTCTGCCGAATTAATGTGTCCCGTGATGTCCTAAGACACTGAAGCTCAGCAGAGGAACAGTGCAACCACGGTCTCCTTCCCCTGTCCTTAGACCTTCTTCTTGTCCTGTCTCCATGTGTGAATGACACCCAAATCTGCTCAGCAAGACAAAAGAGAAAGGAGGTATTCCTGAGACTGACCTCTTCAACACTTCCATATTCAGATCTTGGACTCTGTCAGTTTTACCTCCTAAGCGTGTCTGGAATCTCTGCACCCCTCTCTGCCTGTGTTACCGTCGCTCTGGTCCCACCTAGCTTCCTCTCTTTGTTAGATCAGTGCTGTCACTCCTGCTTTGCATACACTGACCCCCAGCAACTTTGAAGTTCAGTGTTTCTTCTTGCAACAGGGCACATGCTGTTCCATGTGCCAGGCATGGCTTTTCCTTCTGGTTTTGTATATTAACATTGTTTCATCCTTCAAATTTTACCTTAATAGTCAATTATTATTAAATGGTGGTCTCCCATATTTGTTAAATTCTATTGTATTCTCTTTCTGTTCCATGTACCTCTCCTTGTAGCGCCTGCCACAGTTGTTTTGTTTGTGTAACTGTTTAATTGCTATCTGCCTTCCCTATTAGACTCTCACCTTCTCGAGGGCCATGTTTGTTAGTACTCACAATCACTTGTGTCTTCTGGCACTGTGGTATTCAGTACGGCAGGTCTCCTCGATATCCTTGCTGAGTAAATGAATAAATCAGTGATTGACATCACATAGATTATTCTTTAAAATAACATGCTTTTAATTGACATATTGATTATTCTTTAAAATAACATGTTTTTGATTGACATGATATTGATTCTTAGATAACTTTTAGAAAAGCTTATTTTTCTTTTATTGCATTTTAGGTTTTGGGGTACATGTGAAGAACATGCAAGATTGTTGCATAGGTACACACGTGGCAGTGTGATTTGCTGCCTTCCTCCCCATCACCTATATCTGGTATTTCTCCCCATGCTATCTCTCCCCAACTCCTCACCCCTCACTGTCCCGTATTTCTCCCCGACAGACCCCAGTGTGTGATGCTCCCATCCCCGTGTCCATGTGTTCTCATTGTTCAACACCTGCCTATGAGTGAGAACATGCGGTGTTTGATTTTCTGTTCTTGTGTCAGTTTGCTGAGAATGATGGTTTCCAGGTTCATCCATGTCCCTACAAAGGACACGAACTCATCATTTTTTATGGCTGCATAGTATTCCATGGTGTATATGTGCCACATTTTCCCTGTCCAGTCTATCATCGATGGGCATTTGGGTTGGTTCCAGGTCTTTGCTATTGTAAATGGTGCAGCAGTGAACATTCGTGTGCATGAAAACTTACGTGGTTTGAGCACTCCCCATAGAGTTTTATTTATTGCGACTGCTTTTCTACATAAGCTATCGGAAGATAGTGCTCATCCAGGTTTGGTCTGGGCCGATGGGACCGGCCACACTGAAGGCACACCTACACGTTTGCCTCGCCGCGGCACTCTGTCATTGCATTCAAGGTCAGCTGGCAGGAGCCCTTGGGTCTTTATGGCTCATTATGAACGACAGTTCTTTTGCTCTGTCACGTGGTGAGAGTGCACTTCTCTACCCACTTTGACTCAGGGTGGCCGTGCCACCTGCCTTCCCTCGTGACAGGTGAGTGGTCCCAGGCAGGGGCATGAAGAGCCAGCATGTGATTTCCCACACCGCATCTTCTCTTCCTTTGCAATCAGGAGGCGTCGGGGCCTCCATCGGTGGGTTTCCTGAGTACCGTGAGGCCAGGACACCCCCAGCCAGCTGTGGCGGCGTGCAGCACGCACACTTGGTTCGCTTCTTATTGCAGCCTCATCAGCCTGTCCTGACAGCTATGGAAATATAAAGGAAGTTGGTCCTGGAGAGTCTTTTCTTTGGCCACCGAACCACCTGCTTCTCCCCAGGAGCAGAGAGAGGCTCCAGGACACAGACTGGGACAGATTCTTGTCTTCTGCCAGTGTGCCATGAAAACTAGGAATAACCGTGGCGAGTGAGAACCCCCTGCTGTGTGAGGAGTGAGGTCAGGCAGGCTGTGGAGGGCACCTGCTGACCGGGGAGCAGAGGGCCCTGGGCAGGGTCCTCACAGTGCCCTGAGAATTACAAAAGCACCTGCTGACCGGACCCTCTGGAGCGACCTTGTCACTCCTTATAAGAAAGATGTTTCTCCAGCAGTTTTACCAAGCAGGCTGGCATTTTGCTGGTGGAACCAAAGGCAGAAATGCAGAGTGGACACCATTCTGTATTTGGAGAAACTGCAGTAATTTCCCTGGCTCTACCCATGGCAGTGGTTTAGAAGGTTGCACTATTTCACGTGCTCTCTGATCTTTTAAAGGAGTTCGACGTAAGTAGTTGATAAAGTCTGCTGTATTTTCTCCCCAGAGACCAGCTGAGATAGTTAAAGAAGATGAAGAGACATATGAGAACACCACTGATTTTGAGGGCAACAAGGTGAGTTCATTTGTTTTGTTTTAATGGCCTTGATCTAAGGCACTTAACACATTGAACAGAACTCACGTGTGGTGGTGAAAGGATCCAGGATCACAAGTCGGTTCTAAAGCACCGACCAGCACAGAATTGGAAGCGAGTGCCTTTCCGAGGCAGGCCGTGGCCAAGATCAGGTTTCCTGTGTGCCAGACAATTACATGGATCATTTCAATCGCATCTATACCTGTCCTAATTACTTTCCACTGTACTTCTAGTCACAAACCTAAAAATGTTTCCCAGAAAGTTTCAAGATAACACTTTTAGTAGGGAACGTCTGGGAAGGTGAAGGAAGGCAGCAGGTATGCAGGTGGCTGTGTGGTGTGGGCATCTGCGGCGCTGGCTTGTGTGGTTCGAGGTGCAGCGTCAGTAGCCGGTCCCGCTGGCCAGCGTGAGGGTGAGGGCTTGCGGTGCACCTGCGCAGATAGCAGCAGGAACCAGCGCGGGACGCTTGGCTTGCTCTTCTTCCTGTCTGGGTGTCCTGGAAACTTCCTCCACCCAGAGAGTGTGTGTCTGTGGTCCTTTATGAGATTCTGCAACACATCGTCCACATAAAATATGTGTATTGGGAAAACAGAATTTATTTTAAATATGCATTTTTTTAGCTAAGAAGTAGACTTTGAGGACCTTGTTTTCAGAATTCTGTCTCTGGATCTTTATTTTTGTTTCAAGGTAACCTCTTAGTATTTTTGGTTTTGTTTTGTTTTGTTTTTGAGATGGAGTCTCGCTCTGTAGCCCAGGCTGGAGTATAGTGATGCAATCTCGATCTCAGCTCACTACAGCCTCTGCCTCCCAGGTCCCGGTTCAAGTAATTCTCCTACCTCAGCCTTCCTAGTAGCTGGGATTATAGGCACGAGCAACCATGCCTAGCTAATTTCTATATTTTTTTTTAGTAGAGATGGGGTTCCACCATGTTGGCCAGTCTGGTCTTGAACTCCTGACCTCGTGATCCAAAAGTTTGGCCACAGGCAGGAAGCTGAAGGTAATTGGCTTTAAAATTTGACCCACTTTTTGAGGACTCAAGAACAGCAAGCATTTTATATGTATTATAATAGCTGCAATAACAATTAAAAAGGAGCAGGACTCAATTAGCCCTTGCTGGCCGGTAGCCGCAGTGAGCTATCCCTGCTCTCAGTGACCTGTAGTTCACTTGGCATTTCATTTGTACATTCATTTGACAAATCGATCACATGACATTTATTTGATATTGATTATATTAACATTTTTAGGCTTATGATTGCCGGCTTGACCTCCTGAAAGACAGAGATTGTGCCCTATGGTCTTATGTGTCATTCAGTGTCTTATATATAGTAGGTGTTTAATAAATATCTGTGGATTTGCTTTCAGTTGCGTATGATGAAGTTACTTATATATGTAATCCTGGAATAAAATGCTAATTACCTTGCAGTTGTAAGAAGACATAAACATTATTTATAAATACATACTGTTCAGGCACAGTGGCTCATGCCTGTAATCCCAGCAATTTGGGGAGCTAAGGTGGGAGGATCGCTTGAGGCCGGGAGTTTGAGACCAGCCTGGTGAACAAAATGAGACCCTGTTTCTACAAAAAGCTGTGAAATTAAAAAAGTAGCCAGGTGCAGTGCTGTGCACCTGTAGTCCCAGCTCCTTGGGAGGCTGAGGTGAGAGGATTGCTTGAGCCCGGGAGGTCGAGGCTGCAGTGAGCTGCAATGGTGCCACTCTGCTCCAGCCTGAGGGACAGAGCAAGACCATGTGTGGAGAAAACAACAACTACTACTGTATATAGAAAATATTTCTGATGTTTGATCACAAAGGTGTTATTTTTGTGGTAAAAATACACATGGTTTTTGTTGTGACATATAAAGACAATTTGCCGTTTAGCCGTTTTCAACGTGCAGTTGAGTGGCATTGATCACAGTCTCTATGTTGCATGGTCACGGCCACTGTCTGCTTCCAACACCTTTTCGTCTCCCCACACCGAAACTCTGTGCCAACTCCCTGTTCTGTGCCAGCGCCACATTCCTTGCGTGGCCTAGCCCCAACTGTGTTGTCATTTGAAGCACGTAAAAACAATCCCGGCTTGAAGGAGGTATTCAGATGCAAGTGTTATGATGGGATCCTCCTCACGCCGCAACCAGGGTGGATTCATTTTATAATTGTGTATGTCAATAGCATAGGAGTGGGAGCAATTGAAATCAAAAGCAAAAATAGAACTGTGCTTTTGGATGACACTTCATCATCCTCAGAATACTTTAAACGTGTTAATTATACGGTCATGACAATACTGACGATATTGGGCACTGTAATAATGTTTTTCATTCTTAAAAATGGAATTTTACCATTAATTTGCAAAGCTCTCCTGTGAGATAATAAAGATGAAATGTGTACATTTTCCTTTTACCTATTTAAAACTGTGTCCATTGCACACAATTTTAATTATATTGGGTGCTTGAGAACTGTCTGAATCAGTGTAGACTGGAATTTTCTCCAGTTCTTACTGCTTGATTTGTTTGGACACATTGATTTTAAAATATCTTATGTGCAAACAGCACTTTTTAATTTATGCTACCTGCGAAGTTTGTGAAGCAATGTGTTAAGGTTTTGAAAAGGCTTGATCCCTTTCCAAAGCAAGATGGAAAGTATGAATGGAAATGCTGGGAAATGTATCCACGGGCTGCATATGTAGGGCTCTCCAAGGAAGGCACGTTTCCTTTCCTTGGAGGTCCCCCGTGTGGTCGTGTGGTCAGCAGCCAGCTCTGTAGGGGTGCCTTAGAGGAGGGTTATGCAAAGGAGTGGTCAGGTATTGTGTGAATCAAGTTTTTTTCTGATTCTCAGTTGTCAACCTTTTAATAGTATTTAGGTGTTTCCTACTTTTGAAAAGGCCATATAAAAATTTCATGGGCAATTTTGTGTATTCAATGAAGAGACTGAGGGAGCGGAAGAGGGAGAGGGAGAGGGAGGTTGGCTATGATTTGGGGGTGGTGATTTTCTCCTCCTCCAAGAGCATGCTGTGCAAGTCTCAGCCTCTCTGGTGCTGTGCCTGATGTCTGCTGCACCCCTGCCTTGCCAGCTCTCACCTGCTGCCAGCACTAACTGCAGATGCCAGCCTCCTCCTTAAGGCTTTCTGGATCCTTCTGCCCCAGGGAGCATCTCTTCCTCCACTCACTCCCCACAGGATTTTGTTTGTCCTTCCTACGCTGTCCAAAGCACATTTTGGCTTTACTTAGAGCTGTTTGTGTACGTCTACTGTCTCTTCTGAGTGATTTACATTTTTTGAAGGAAGAGTCTTGACTTAATTCATTTTGGTGTCATCTTTAACACCTTTCATATCACCTTGCACACAGGAGTAACTGATCTTGAGTTTGGTAAGACCCTGGAGTAACTGACTTGAGTTTGGTAAGACGTTGGAAGATATTAGGTGGCCCATGTGCAGCATTGGAGACAGAGGGGGCATTGCCCAGCCTCTAACCTGAAGCTGGAGTGTGGCCAATCTGGAGCTGAGCGTGGCCCCAGTAGAGGGGACGAAAGATGAAGGTAGATATTTAGTGAGTCTCAAAAGGCTATGTCAGAAGAAGTGATTATCCCCAAAGCCTTCATGTTTATCTACAAGAAAATCTAACTTTTCTCTCTGGAAAATGCCATGAAGCCAAAAGCTAAGCAAAATAAGGAAGAAAATATTTGCGACACAAATCAGATTTTCTTGATTTACGCAAGTCTCATTAATCATTAACACAAAGCCCAATAAAAAAGAAAAGCAAATAAGGCAAACAGTAAATTCACAGAGAATAATACAGATTTCCAAAAGACATAAGGAAATATGTCCATGTCATTTCTAACTAAAGAAATGCAAATAATAAAAATGAATGTTTTGTCTTTATATCAGGTTGGCGGTGTCCAGTGCTTAATAAATCCAGATTAAGGATTTGTTTTACACTAGCCCTCTTGCGGATAATTCAACACTATATTTTTATGTTAATATAGATGCAGAAAAGTAGCAATACTTCTTAGTAGGGTTATGTATAAATCAATGCAGCCTTTTGGAAAATACTATTAACATAGAATATAACAACATGTTTGTTATATTAATATAACAATATATTAATGACTATTAATAATAGAAACAAATGCAGTGTTCATCTACAGGGCTTGATTAACTTATGCTTCACCAATAGAATGGCATACAAGATAGCTGTGAAAATAGTTAGATAGACTCATATAACTGAAGGATGGGAGCTCCAAGATGTTATATTAAGTGAAAAAAAAATCAAGGTGCAACAGCGAATACAGGTGTTTGCATAAGAATGAGCAAAGAGATGTACATAAAAACAAAGGGTTTAGAATGAGAAACCAAGTGGAAGGAAGCAGGAGGAACAGGGCAGTGAGCTGGTGGTGAGGATGAGGCTTAAGGCTTTACGCAAACTCCTGAGTGATGTTGATGAGAAAGAATTTGACCTCCCCAAGAAGCTGAGTAGAGGCAGGGGAGATAAGGGTTTATTATATGCCATCTTCCTTGCAGATAGTTGATTCCTATATTTATTTTTTTTAATACTAGGAAAATGAAGATGCAAGGCTTCGTGAAGACTTTGAAAGAAAGGTTTGTATCAACAATAGCTGTGGTTTTGTGTTTTCTGTTGTGAAGACAGAGCTAATGAGAGAATGCATGGATCCCCAGCTCTTGGCAGGTGCTTTTTAGGAACATAACCTTTATGTCTCTGTCATACACCGAAGCTCTGTTTTCCAGAGTTAGAAAACAAACTTGGAGAAAAAAAGAACCACAGTCAAGGACTTTCACAGAGGTGGATGGTTCCTTGGGAAAGGCAAATAAGAACCAGGAATGGAAAGTGCTTTAGGGCCGTGCGTGGCTGGCTGGCGTCTGAAGGTGCACCCACCATGACTCCCGGAAAATGCATATGTATTATCTGCCAGCTGCACCTGTAGTCACTCACTTAGGCCTTCCAGGCAGTCATAAAAGCTGCACCGTCAGACGCCAGCCATGAAGCTAAGGGTGGATGTGCTTGCCTGGTGAGGCTGTAGGAGTTGGGGGCTCACAGCCCTGGGGAAAGTGGATCTGTAGCTGCACCGGGGATTTCACCTGGCAGCCGCAGGCGCTCCCCGCCTCAAAGCGTTGCTCTCCCCGCCATCATCAATAGCTCAGTCCTCAGCAGGACTGAGTTCTTATCCTAGGTTGGTGGATGACTAAGTGATGATAGTGATTTTTGGCTGAGTGTGCCACGTTTCATTTATTTAGTCCTTAGTTTTCTTAGACTCCTCAGCACTCCTCAAAGGCCGTGAGCCCTGAGTGATGACTTGGGAGGTGAACCTAACCCACGCCAGCACGTGGACACTCTCTGCCTGGCCTTGGACACCAGCACGTGGACACTCTCCACCTGGCCTTGGCTGCTTCAGCACCTGCTGGGTGTGTGGCTTTGGGAACACGCCTCAAAACCTTATTGCCTCAGTTTCCTCCTTCAAAGTTTGTCCAATTGTTTATTTATAACAAAATCAACCTCCAGGAGAGAATATGCATAAAGTCTGCTCAGTGTTACTACCTTTTATTATTAGAAATAGCTGACTTGCAAAAGAATCCAGATGGTATCATGGGGGAGGGGAACAGGTGTGAGCTGTGTCCTGCCTGTGCACGGAGCCTCTAATGTGGGTGTGTCCTGCTGTGGAGAGAGCCTCTGGTGTGAGCTGTGTCCTGCCCGTGGAGGGAGCCTCTCATGGGGGTGTGTCCTGCTGTGGACAGAGCCTCTCATGTGGGTGAGTCCCACCTGTGGACCGAACCTCTGGTGGGGGTATGTCCCGCCCCTGCAGGAGCCCCTGGTGTAGACGTGTAGGCAGCTTTGTGGCCGGAAGAGGACTAAATTCCTGTTTCAGCTTTTCCACCAACTGGCTAGATGCCCTTTGTTAAGTAACTTGATTAATTCAATCAACAATCATTTTACATGTTTATAGGTTTACTTACTTTTCAAGAATCAGTGAGACGATGAATTGGAAAATTCCTGAAAAGTATAACATATCTATGTTTGAAATGGTGTTTATATTATTTGTACTTAAGCTAGATAATGAAAGTTTTTGTTCCTCAGCTTGAAATTAGACATTTGGTGGTCCCCACTCTGAACTCCCTTGTTAAAATCATGTAACCCATTTTGTGAGGTGGCATCCATTCTCTGGAACTCTCTGTAGCTAACCTAACTACACGTGGCTGGAAAAACAGTAATCTGTGTTCATCGTGATCTTCCCGTAGGCATAAATAATATCTGGTTTTAATGTCAAGTAATTCTTGGGAACATTTATCACTTGTTTGGCATACATATTACTCTTTTAAAGGGACTATTTTGCCAAATGCAATGGAATGAGAAGAATGCAAAGTTTGGCCCCATGCAAACTATGAGCAAATAGTTTCATTTTTCTGAGCCTCGGTTTCCTTATCTGTGAAACTGAAATAATTTCTAACTTGTGAAATGCGTGTAAAGATTAGAAATATTTAGAAGTGCCTTACTCAGTGGTCAGGGAATAAATGCCATGTACTACTGTTGTTACTGTTATTCTCTGGTTGAATCATGCCTCCAATTGAGGTCTAATGTCTTTGAAAGAAGGAATGAGATGTTTTTCAGCATAGAGCATGCACAATGCCTTATTCACAGTCAGCACGAATTATGTTTTTAAATTAACTTTTCTCCTATGATACCTCACACTAGTTTTAAAATTCAGAGTACTTTATTAAATTATAAAGGATTTATGTTGATTGTAGACTTACTAGAAAATGCAGATAAGAAAAAAATGAGAAGGTAAAACCCCTGAATTCCTCTGCTCAGAGTCTGTTCTCACTTTTGTGCATGTTTTTCAGGACTGTTTTCCACTTGAAATTTGCTTTTTGTGTAGAAAGAGGGTTGGAACTTGTCAAATAATACAAAATTATATTTTAAGAAATACTGTGAATCAGTATTGAGGATATTTTCAACATGTTAGGTTTTTTTCTCAGTATACTTCAGAATGTTGATTTTATTTATTTGAAATAGATGTAAACGTTTTTGAGTAGAGCTGCCACTCACTTTAAAAAGAGCAAGAAGCAGGCAGCAGTTGTCGCGTCCTTGTGAGGAGCTTCTCCAGGGCTGTGATGCCAGTGCCGCTTCCTGGATGTCATCTGCTGAACATTTGATCTCAAATCAGAATTTAAACACTCCATGCTTATGTTTAAACAGTTTTAAAGAATTTAAAAAGTTTCATTTTTTCTTCTGCAACAAATATTCAGTTTGATTTCCCATTGGCTATATTTTTGTGATGATAGTGAAAAATTGAGAGACTTAAGAGGAAGGAAAGTAAACAGATGGAATAATTTATCCATTAATAGATTTTAAAATGTAAACTACAATTTTAAATCATGAATCTAGATGTTGAACAATTCTACTTCCATCATATATTGGACAGATATTAGACTTTCTCAACTATCGCACCAACAAAGAGCATTCAGAATCCACTGGCTGTGCAGTTTGTAGTTTCATTTTGCATTTTTGCATCATAGAATATAAAATGAGCATATCAATCCTTCCAGCATCCAAGCAGCACGACAGGATGCCGCAGTGACAAGTTCCAGGTGCAACGTGTATAAGAAGATAATTGTGGCATTTTTTTTTCCCCAAAGGCTTCAAAAATCAAGTATAATTTTGATCAACAATAAATGTGCTATTAGTAAAAAAAAAAAAGTACTTAACATAAGATTTTTCGTATTTATAGACATCAATTTGTGAAATGGCCTATCACCTTTTAAAGGTGTACTTTTTAAGTTTTATGGCAATGTTATGCATAATCATATCAAAGCAAAGTCCTTTTAAATGAATGTTGGAGGCAACATTCAAAGCCTGTTAACATCCTTTGTTAAATGTCCTCCTTCCCTCCTTTCTTCCCTCCCTCTCTCCTTTCTTCCCTCCCTCCCTCCCTTTCTTTCTTCTTTTCCCCTTCCTTCTATTCCTTCCCTACCTCCCTCCCTTCTTCTCTCTCTCTCTCTCTCTCTTTCTCTTTCTCTTTCTCTGAGACAGGATCTTGCTCTGTCATCTGCAAGCGCTGCCTCCCAGGTTTGAATGATTCTCAATTCTCGTGCTTCAGCTACCTGAGTAGATGGGATTATAGGCATGGCGTGTGCACCATCTTGTTCAGCTAACTTTTTCAAAATGTTTTTAGTAGAGAAGGGTTTCACCATGTGGGCCAGGCTCCTCTCAAACCTCTGACCTCAAGTGATCCACCCACCTTGGCACTCTGAGAGTGGCAACTCTGCCTGGCCAAATGTTTTCAGTGTGATAGAAAAATAATGGGTTTTGTCTGCCTTTGAAACATTTATATTTTATTCATTTGGAGAAACAAGAGTGAAAAACTGCCAAGCACCACACAAAGCTCCACGTGGAATCTGAAGGCCCTTTTCCTGCCCTGATTTCCAGACTTCTTTTGAACTGGGAGCTGGCCCCTGTGCTTCTCTTGAAGAAATGCCTTATAGTAAATAGTACCAATTCTCATAATTGCTCAACTTTATATTTATAGTATATTTATTTATATTTATGACCTGATCTTTCACTCTTTTTCTAATGCCATGCCTTTAATTGTTCTTAGTCACCTCTCTAAGAAATAATTATCCATTCTGGTCATCTCTTAACGCTCTCATCCTTCAGGAATCATGTTATTATAATGATGTCATTTTCAAATCATTTGCCTTTTTCAAATTATCCCCCAAGTTATTTTGTGTTTGCATTCAAGTTTTCAACAACTCTCCATTGGATGGTTAATTTTTTGCCTACTAAATGCTTACTTCTTTCTGTCTGGAGCACATTTTCTGTTTATATGTCTCCTCCTTCCCTGTCCAGGAGTACTCTTTGCTCAAAAAATTCTTAACTAAGCCTGGGCATTCTAGGATCAAAGAAAGAGAGATTTGATCCTCTCATAGCTTTTAGGCTTTGTTTCATGTTGTTGAAAACAAGGAAATTTTTGACCTTGGGTGGAGTCATAACGACAAGAACATAAGAAAATAGAACACAGTGGGTAACTTCAGAACAGTAGTGATAGACCAGGAGCTATCTATGATTGATTAATGTTATGTGTGGTTGTGTGCTTGTTTTTTTTTTACAACAAAAGGAGTCTTGTCTATTTTGCTTTTTAATCTTCTTGTCTTGATGACTGTCCTCCAAATCATAGAGTACTTAGAAATTCATTGGGGATTGAAATCCACCGGACTGATGAAGGATCTTGAAGGAGATAGGTCTTCCCAAGGAGGCCCCTCGTGCTTCAGGCGCTCTGTGGAAGCTGAGAAACTGTGCACCTTCTGCCATTGTTTACCCAGAATGCCCCAAATGAGATCAGGTGGAAGGAGTGGGTAGTTGATATGCTACCAGCTATTAGACAAGTGATAAAACAGTGCAGCCTCTTTAAATGATCAAAGTAGTAGTTTATATCAATGGACATAAATAATGTTTAAATGATTTAATGTGCTTAAGAAATGCTAAGCTCAGAACATTAGCCAATTTTCATCGCCTGCAGCTACTGATGAAAACAATGTTTAAGCCTCTTACTGAAGTGAAATGCATGCACAAATCCGTAACAGTCGTT